GAAATCGCGGAAAAAGTTATACTTTTGGGACGACATTTCGTCAGCCTCGAATTCCAACGTTGAAACAACTATGTCATGGTCTGAGCCCCCGAGTGGGCCTAGGGATGACACTGACGATGGCAAGCAGCCTCTACAGAAAATTAAGTCAAGTATACTTGAGCCTCGGGTGGGAAAATCAACAACCTGAGTCCACATCCCGACATCCACAGCCTCAAGAAAGTCATCGAACCTTCTGGGGCCTGAAGGCGGAGACCAGCGGACTTCAGGGAGATTAAAGTTACCCGCAACCATTTGATACTTAAAGCTTAAGTCGGCCGCAGCATGAAATGCTTGTGAGAGTAAACGATTAAAATTTTCATTGGCGTTGGGAGGGCGATAGACGCAGCCAATGAGTAAGGAGAACTTATTTTTTAGTGCAACCTGGAGCCAACAGCTGCCTTCTACTGCGGAAAAGTGCGGGAGGTCCAACGGCAAACATGTAAGTGTTTGCTTAACGTAGACGCAGCTGCCCCCACCACGGCTATCTTGGCGATCATTTCGAATGCAATTGTAGCCTAGAAGAGAGAGTTCGGAGTCAGCTACTGAGGCTGATGCCCACGTCTCAGTTACTAAAACAATATCAGGAGAATGGACGAACACCTGAGTCTGAAGCAAAGGCATCTTATTAAGCAAGGATCTGGCATTTAAAACAAAAAGTTTTAAGGGAAAGGCTGTTAGTTTTTGAGGGAGGTGGGCTACATCGTCCAGTTCTGGGTCGCCCACGGAGCAAACCGTCCGGATGCAACCATCCGGTTCTGCAAAAAATTTTGTGGCATCAAAAAATTCTGACGTGGATAAAAAGGGGTAGGACTTGGGGGAGGGAATGACGGGCAGGTAAACTGGTAACTATTGTTAGCTAACTTATTTTCAGCTGGAAATCCGCGGGCCAGATACTGCAACGTATTCCCGCCGGGACGAAACTGAGGATCGGATGAATTAACTAATTCAGTATGGACATTATCATGAGGAATAAATTGGTAAAACGGCCGTGGAGGAAACAAGTTAGGGAGTGGAGGACGCATTGTTTCCATTGGAACAAGAGGTCTATTAAACGGTGGGAAAATCGGCATATTTGGCCTAACTGCCTCAATTTGAGGGCTGGGGAGCAGTTGCGAACCCGCTACGTTTTGAGTCGGGGTATTTGAGGTACTGTTCGCCGATTGTGGAGGAAAAGATTTTATAATGGTGCTGGATTTATTGGGTGTCCGAGTGGCTGAGACAACAATTGGATTTGCCTTTGACTTAGACACATGCTTAGGCTTACTAGGGGTTGCTGGGGGAGTCGATAGTGGCGTGTTTATACCAGGCGTGATGGTGTGTTTAAAGAGCTCAGCATTAAAAGTAGTCGAACTCCCTACGGAATTGACTATGCCGTGACTTGCAGATGCCGCAGATGGTGTTGTAGAGGACATATTCAGACTGACAGTAGGTGTCATTATCTTGGTGTTGGTTTTTGCCGATTTTAGTTGATTCAGTCTTCGCTGCAGGGGTGTGAGGTCTGGCGAAACGGAGCAGCGCCATTTACGGCAGAAGTCTCTAGTCATCTCCCTACTCGACAAGATAAATCGACTTCTATCATGGAGAAAAGGGTAACTAGTATCGGCGGATTACGGCTAAGCGAGCGAAGTCGCTTAGCTTGTGCGACACTGAAACTCAAGCCACAACTTTGTAGGAACAAATGCGCTCCCTCCATAGCAGATAAGTGGCTCGGAATGTTTCGCAGTACGAAATTATGCTTGCGTTTAATTCGTTCCTCAGTTTCCGAACTTATTACCCCAATAACTTTAAAAGCTTGTTCAATTACTTTTCAAGAAGTGCTGTTTATGTCCCCATAAATCAGCTGATCGATTATTTCGCCGGCTGATGGCCTGCTACGACTAGCAGAGGCGTATTTTTGGACGACTGAAGGGTCGAGAGGTTCTACATGTACTAAAGGGATTTGTGAGTTAATCAGATCTGCAGACGGCGAAGAACATACGCTGGCGTCTGCCATGTCTTCAGTCACAATTTTAGCACCCAGAGACGGTGGGGAGGCCGCAAGCTTTCGCCTTTTAGCACGTGCTCTGCGGGGCATTACAGACAAAAAAAAGTTTTTCGTTACAGAAGAAGGATCAAAACGTTGCCAACGTACGGAAACGCGCACTGAGTAGCAAGTATTACTGTTTTTTTAACTACGAAAACTAGAAAGCGGTAGTAGGGAAAGGATTCACTACAATGGATTTTTTACAAAATACGACTATTTTGCCAGACTGTCAAGCAAAACTGGGAAAAAAATTTACCTTATATTGAAAGGCGACTTTTAAAAGGGACTCAAGTAAAAAACAGGCATTAATTACTTAAGAATATTCAGATAAATGCAGAGCTTCACTTATCTTTGAAATTGAGCTGCGCGCCTTGACCTTGACCTTGACCTGTATGTTTACTTCCTTACCAACTTACCTTACACGTTCATCTCTCATCCACGCCAAAAATACCACGCTCCAGACTCCTCGATGTCACAAAAGTGCGGCAAAGCAGCACTGTCGAGGCCCTGGACAGAGAAATCCGGTTCTGATTTACTACCCGAGCCGACGGAGAAGGCAGTAACCAGTGGTCGTCACTGAAAACGTCGATTGTGTTGTCAGACTCTGTTTAGGCATTTAAGGACAAAATTTATACTAATTTGCTGAGAAACTACCACAATATAATAGACATTTTATCGACGGCTGCGGCTTTCGTATGACTTACGCACGCCGAGGATTCCATTCTTTCCAGAATTACTGTTGTAAAAATCGATTATACTGCTTTTCGAATATGAGCAGGCAAGCTTAAGAGTTAAGACCCCATCCTCAAAACAAGTTGACTTAGACTGTTCATATGCCCCTTACACAAGAGAAGAGCCCTGGCTTCGATTTTTGGGCAACTATATCTTCCCAGTCCGCTTTGTGGGGGATGCAACTGTCACAAAGAAAGGTGATTAACTTTCTCCTCAAACAAGATAAAAGACGACGTCCCATCACTGTGGCCATAACTGTAAGTTGCATAAGCCTATAGACTGTCACAAAAAGTGGTTGGAATTTGTGGACGCGAATAAAAATTCACGCAGATAAATATGCAGACAGTCAGTATAAATTTCTACAGTGATGTACAGCAGTCGAAAATGGGAACTGCATTAGATCTGATTTCACCAATGAGCCCACAAGTTTACAACGTCTTCACTGAAGCTGATGTGATTTGAGCGCTCCGATAAGACCTTCGTATTCGCATGAATAGAGCAAGATTAAAATAAAAGTAGTATTGTCATTAAATATAACAGTGTTGCCAAAAGATGCATATAGATACTGGGCGGGTAGATTCTATGTGACAGGTAAACAATACCTACTGCAGTAGTTGTTGTAATATCGAGTGAATATGTACATGCCTTATTGAAGATGGAAGCACATAAGGAGTTGAAGATGACCGGATGGCAAAGAAGACACCTTATCCGGAAGTCGTCGTACAGTTAGGGACGTTCGATCTTTGAATTCTTTTTAATTGCACAACATGTTCAGGAATGGTGACAATTTCCAGAAGAAGTAAAACTACCATTTGAGTGATGAGTACTGATATTGTCTTGAGCGCAGCAACCCGCCATTTTACTTACATATGTGATTCGAACAGGATGGGGGGAGTTGAGTGCACGCACAATGATCGTTGAATTTGCCATTTATTGAACGAGCGTCGACTATCTTTGTGTTGACCTAGAAACCAATCGGTCGGCAGGCCAGATGGGGTAGTCTGCGGCGAAGGCTATCATTTCGGTAGGAAGATGAGCAAGGAAGTTGGGGCCAAGGGATACAGGGACCGTGACTTCAGGAGTCAAGCTCAATGGAGGCCCTATCTTCTAAACAACCTGGCAGATCGTCAGATTCCTGAATAAGTTTCTAGATAAGAGCGAGAAATGTAAAATCGGTCTTTTAAATTCCAGCAGGACATGGTCCAAAGTCCACAGCTTGAGCGTTTAAGAGGAATCAGACGTATTGCTAAGAGACCCGCGAACACTTATAAGCACAAACCTACTTGATTTGGCGGTGAGATATATCACTTTTTCGATCTTTCATTAACACGATTTACATGAGGACGTTCAATATTGTAGGTGGGAATTTTAAGTTTGGTTCGAAACGGGGTTAAAGGTTGGGAGTTACCCTGGGAAACCTGTGATACTATCGTGCATTTTCTTTATGCGGGTTACACCGGTGGGTCGACTCCTATGACCATATATTAAGACTATTTTTGGAACGCCTTATCCTCGTCACATAAAGGACCTCTATGATTAAGACTAATGAGCATATGCATCGAAAGTAAACCGCATGTTATCCTTCAAATACATATCTCAATAAATCTCATGCTCTTCTTGGCATGTGTTACCGTGTTATAATCTGACGAGCCCGATCAGAAATGAAAAAAAGACGAAAAGAATATAAGACACAAAAGCCAACGCTCAGTGGATATCAGATAGTTCTACATTCTGAACTGAATTTGATAATCGCGCTGCCTCTCGCAATTCGTTACTATTGGAGCCCTACGTATTGACATAATTATATCTTAGATAATATCCTCTAGAAGGGCGTTTAACTGTCATCTTTGCCAAAAATCTTCCTCGCCAAGTGTCCATTGGGATGTGACCAGTGTTTGCTACCCGTTTCTACACGCGTAGCTCCTAGAAGAAGGGGGAAATTGTATAAGTTCAGAGCTTGACTAGTTACACATTCGACAACCTTGAACGCGTCCTAGCACAAAACTAGAGTCTATGATCGGCAGAGTTACCTAGCATTTTTACAGTACGAGCAGTAAAAATTCTTTTTTTGGACATTCACCTTCACACCAGCAATCTTATTAACCAGAAAGAATGTTTCTCTGAGGCGGTTCTGAAACTTCTTGTTATAATCGATGCGCATCTAGCTTCTAGAATCACACTCATTGGCCCCTCACGTCGCTCAGCAATGTCCGGAGACGCGGTCCCTGCTATGTAAGTCGTTCATTCTCTTATGGCCTGTACAGCTGCACGCCGACAGTTTTGTGGGCCCAGGATAGAGATTCTATCTTTGTCACGGTGGACCTAGGGGATGTTCAGAATAAGGACGTCAAAATTACCCCAGAGAAATTTGTCTTCAGGTACGTTGAATTGCCCATGTTCGCATTTGTCCAGCGGAAAGGCCGGGATCCCAAAGATCCACGATTACGCCGTAACTTTGGAGTTCTCCGAACAAGTGGACGCTGATGTACGTTTACTACTCCCATTTTACCTTGTTTGCAATAGAAAGCCAAAGATATTTCGACCGACAGGGTTATTACGTATCGCATTCCCAAAAAAGAGGCGAAACCCTGGACACATTTCCTTAAAAACAAGACAAAACCACACTGGTTAAAGGTGGACTTTGCACACTGGGTTGATGTGGATGATTCCGACTCCGACGCCGAGGGCTTCGGTGGAGATGGCCGAAACTTCCAAGACATGCTCTCCATGATGGGCAATAACAAAGATTTCGAAGATGATGAAAATGATGCTGACGTAGATTCTGATGACGAAGGTAATTAGCTGTTTTGCTCTTTAACAATTGTAGACCTCCCTGACTTAGATGAACCAACAAAGGTCGCGAACGGCGATGCTGCTCACGTTGTAGAATCCTCGGACGCATCGGCTGAGGACGCCGCCTCAGTTGCGAAGTCGGCGGACACTCCAGCCAAAGATGCTGACCCCACCGAAGCACAATCAAAAGGCGCCTCGACTGACAGCAGCGCGCCAGCCGCAGCGGCCGAGGCATAACCTGAGCACCAATTCCCCTCCTAAGTAACTTTTTATACTGTTCTGTGGAGTCCACATTTCTTCGAACCCGATGGTCTCTGGGCGATAGCTGTCGGGCTATATCGCTTTGTACACACGTGTCGTTATTGCGCAAGAACTGTTCTGCGTTTACGGTCTTGCTTTGTTTACGTGGAGTTGGAGACCTACGGACACGAGTTCCTGTCTGTCCCTCTGGTTCGTTCGTCGCCCTCGGGGTTTTCTGATTACCATATTCGGTTGGGCCATTTCGGTGGACTGTTTGCGTCGCTTCATTGAAAGATAAGTGTGACAGTACCGCTTAGATGGTGCGGCTGCTGACCCTGCTACCGTATAACAGGCCGTGAAGGACGGACTTTGTCATTGAATGTCAGCGGGACTTGGGTTTCAAAACGAACCGCTGGTCGCTCCCCAGGTAGTCCGTAGCCCGTGTTCACCCAAGGATTCACGAGTGTTCCGCGCAAGTTGGTTCTCATCTGGGCGTCGCCAACGGGTATGGATAGACCTGACACTGGTCTTATCTTGCAGGATAAACGTTCGGTCTGAGGTACTTGCGCACTGTTTTGGTCCCCTTCGCCGATAATATGGCTCGCCAAAAGTGGTGTTGGGTCGCTCGTCCGGACATGTAAGTGGTTCTGTGCCGCCCATCAGGAAACCCCCATTTCGGCCGGGACCACATACGACCTTCGCTACATAGTCGAAAATATGTACTAGCGGACTGAGGTCCTACTTGGAACTCGACGCGTATGTCAGAAATCTGCTCGGCCGTCGGAGACTTTTTGGCCCTTAACTTTTGCAGGGAGTATGCCTTAATCCACTATAGACCGCTGGGTTCAGAGGTCGTATTACTGTTTGTACTTAATGCGTCTGTGGTCACACATGACCCGCTCCGCTTCCACGTTCCCGTGTGCTGGTGTCCGCGCTATCTGGCCTCCCAGACTCGGCCCAGTGACAGAGGTTCGCTGCCAAGGTTTCGGGAGCCATCTTTTTGCTCACACCGAACCAGTCGGACTGGTCGCTTTTGGCAGTGTGGTATACTCGCTCACCTTGAAATCGGGACGTCGTTGTCAACACGGCTCATGGAATATACTGTCAGCGGATATCCTGTGCAGGCTGCGTATTGTGTTAGGGATTTCTCATGTGAAGAGGTTAACGACGGAAGAGCCTGCCCCTGAGGATCTAGTAACTAGTTGATGGTTCACGTTTGGGATGCTCTCGACTTTCGTGCTACTGGTAATCAGGTTTCCACCTACATCTGTGATAGTTATTCAGCGCAAATTACACTTCTGGCCCTTAAGGAAGTTGGCGATGCTTTTGACTGTTTAGTACTTTGGGGGCTTTTTTCAAGAACCACCTGCTTGGCCTAGTGGTTTCTGTAGTCTTTGCTAAGCCGGCTCTGCTGTCACTTCCGCAAGTAATTGCCACTACGCGATCACGTCCGTGTTGTTTGGCTAAAAGCAATCTCGAGTGAGGCCGGCTCTTGCGGTGTTACCTAGTGAGTCCGAAGTTCCTCTCCATTGTAAACTGGGGCTCTCAAGGAAAACTGCTTGGTGCTACATTTTCACGGTTTTGGCTACTGAGGCGAACTAGATTTCCTATTTCAAGCATGGGCTGTCCTACATTTCCGAGTCTCTTAAGGCGCCTCTGAGAAGCCAGCCTTCCAGTGCGTGCGGACGAGAATGTAATTCGAACAAGAGGCGTTGTAGAGTTTGGCAGCACGCTTTCACTGGTCTAGGGTCCCGAGTTGACTTAAGCACACATAATGGGAGTTTATCGCGGGCGACGCTGTCCACCGTTTACTCAACGCTGTAGGCGCAGCATCGGTAAAATTACGCGTGGATATGGTGCGGCGGACTTTCGAAGTGTCTACGACACTCCCCTCACTCACCCGACCCCAATGGCAAAACAATGTCAAGACCGGAGGTTGGCTATGGCTCAGTGGCTGGCAAAACTAGACAGTCCGTCCATTCACTCCCCACACCACCTTGTCCTGCACTAAGTGTCAGGTTTTCACAGACAGAGGATGTCGAATCTCGGGTTTGAGAAAATGGCATGGAAGCCACGTTGAGAAAGAGCCATTGGACCCAACTCCCACTCGTCCTCCCACGCACATGACAGTTCGGCCGTTGCTTCCGACGATGTCCGCCGTGTGCTCCACAGTGGGATGGGAGCAGCCGCAGTGACTTGCAACTGGACTTGCTTGTAGTGATAGTTGACTCGCACTGCGTCTGCCGCGCCCTCTCCCTCACCTGGGCACGGTGTCATGACGGACTCAACAAGACTGGAGGTGCGGGAGGGCGCAGGTGGTTGGCACGACGAAAACACACATTAGGTGCATCACCACACTCGCTGGCCCACAACGTACGCTAACCAGGAGTTGACAACAAAAAAGATGGGACGACTCAGATCCCACCGAGTGAGGCCACATAAAGAAGGAGCCATTGCGATCTGACTCCCAAACCACTCCACACAAATACACACTGGACTGATTGCGAGGTTCGAGTCATTCCGTCAGTTTGCAGCCTTCCAAACCATGGCTTCTAGCGCACCGTGATGGACTCAAGTGTATCAGATTATTTGTAGTGAGGAATATGCACCGAGGCCGCCAACCTCTCTCCGGGGCTTGCAGACACCAGTTCATTGTCCGAGCCGGTCAGATATCTGGTGCGGGAAGTGGGCGCAGTGGATGACAGAGCTAGAGAGCCCGTCTGCGTGCGCCACACGCACGACCTGGCGCCCCGGACGCACGTTCCAGGATTACGCACAAGCGGGTAGAATGCTCGGATTTCACATGGAGAAGGGAGCCGGAAAGCACGCTTTCCACTCACGTGGGAGGTGCCTTTGGTGTGGAGATTTTAGGTGTTTATGTGTGATGCATGCGTCGATGGGGCAATGTTTGGTGGTATGGTCATGTTTTTGGTGGTTTTCCTCAGGTTTTCACGAAGGCGTATGTGACAGAGTAGGCTCATGTGATAACTAAATTTGTGAGGACAGTGTGGACAGTTGAGACGGTGGCGTCTGGTACATGTCGGAACTAAGGGCACTGGTTCGCCGGCCTCTGCACAATGGACTCGAAAGTGACCGGCGAGGCTTATGCGTAACTAAAAAATGCGGTCGCAATTGTGAAAGACTGGGATTGAGTTCACGTTGTTGGCAGGAGGGGGAGTGGCACTAGTGCTTCACAGGTCGGCATGGGTGTCCTTATTGGTGTTGCTAATGGTGGCGGTAGTGGTGGTATGTTGTTAGATGAGAGTCAGGTTATTCGTGTTGGCATTGCGCCGGGTCTGTAGATGTCTGGTGAGGTCTGTCCGCGCCCTGAATGTCCGTTGACTGTTTGGACAAGATGGTAGGGGTTAGGCGCTGGCGTCACTCGTCCGTAGCACTTGAGTCTTGCAGGTCTCCTTGCCTTGACACCGACTTTCGTTTGGCTTCGAAGGTGGTTGGTCGAGTCATTGTGGCAGTGCGCCGTGCCACTGGACGAGATCGTTGCAGGTCTCCGGATCAATTTACAGGCACTCGGATGAGGTCTCCAAGGTGTTCTTTTAGCGACGTCTTTATCGCCGTAGAATATGTGGTTGGGCAGACGCCCATCATCCATTCTCACGACGTGGCCGCTTTATCGCAGTGTTATCTGTCCCAGCATGGCGTACATACCGAGGACACCGGTTCTTTCCGAATCTCGATGTCTGAGATCCCCTCCCGCCATTTCACCTTCAGTATTCTCGAAGGTAGCTGGGCTGAAAATGGTTGAGTCTTCTGGTTTTGACCTTCATAGGTAGTCCAAATCTCAGCTCCGTAGAAGAGCGTTGTCAGAAAGACAGTCATGCACACCCTCAGTTTTTGTATTGAGCTGAGCGCCGCGACTATTCTAAAAAGAGTGTCGCAGCCGGCCGAAGGCTTGGGCGTCTTTGGAGATCCGACTTGCGACTTCATAGTTCTTGATGTGTCTTGAAATCGTATTCCGAAGGTACGCGAATGTCACCGCTGCTGTGAGTTAAGTTCCAATTAATTGACACGGGCTTCGGCTCAATCAAAATTTGACGGCGGTTGGTGCACATTTTGCAACGTCTCCATAGAATAGTCGTTTGAGTAGACGCCCGTCACCCATCACGACGTGCTGCTTCGTCGTAGTTGGACTTGCCCCAACACGGCATCGATGCTGAGAATTTCGGTTCGTACCAACACCCATCGTGTCGGGTTTCTGTCTTGCCACCTCAGCTTCTGTATTCTCCGAGGGCAGTTTAGGTGGAAATGATTGGGTTGTCTGGCTTGTTTGGGGTAGAATGTCCATGCCTCCGTCCCGTGGAGCAGCGTCGTCGGGACTACCACCCGATACACCTTGAGTTTCGTGTTGGGCTGAAGTCCGCATCGATTCCGGACTGAGGGTTGTAGCGCGCCTAAGGCTTGGCTGGCTTTGGAGATTCGGTGGGCCCTTGACATTCCTCTAAATTGCACTCATAAGGTATACGAATTTGTCTTACGGCTCAAAGTGGATTCCATTGAGGTTGATGTGGGGTCCATTGCTGGAGGGGCGTTCACCGATCGTTCTTACGGAACTCGCTCGTTCCGTTGTGCCTTACGAGCTCGAGCCCAACCAGCAGCCGCACAGTGGCGCATGATATGGGCAGAATGTTATTATCGACAAAGACAAGAGAGACTGGAATGGTCATTTGTGGCTTATTAGCCGTCGTCAGCCAGTTATACCCAACCCCGAAGTGTGGATCTCGCGACCTGTTAGTTAGAAGTCCAACGCCTCTAACCACTGAGTCTCGAGCCCGTTGTCCTATCGGTTTCGATCGGGAATATACAACAGTGGAGGGGTGCTCACCGATCGTTCTTACGGAACTAACTCGTCCCATTGTGCCTTACGAGTTCTCTCTGGGGGCTCATTGTGCCCCGCGTTGGGCGCTGGCTGGTGCATAAACACTGTCTTCTCCGTGCTGATGATCTGGCCGGAGTTGGAACAGACGGAAACGAGTAGGTTC